CATCTAGTCCTGCCCCTCAGGTCCAGGGGAGCCTGAGAGAGAGAGAGAGAGAGAGAGAGAGAGACTCTTCTGGGTCTGTAGCTGGTGGGGATGCACTCCCACAGGTGGGGGACATGGCTGTTGCCTGATATGGGGCAGCTGGGCAAAGATGTGAGAGCTGCAGGCATTCTCTTCTGGGTTTGTAGCTGATGGAGATGCACTCCCACAGGTGGGGGGCATGGCTGTTGCCTGATATGGGGCAGCTGGGCAAAGATGTGAGAGCTGCAGGCATTGCAGGGCTCAGGGCTGTCATCATCAACCACACTAGAGGAAGGGGAGACATTGGAGGAGGCAGCTGAGCATTGGGACCTTATCTTCTGCACCTACATGAGGGTGCAAACAGGGACAGAGGACAAGGGGAACCACCTCCCAGCCTGTTTGGCTAGGGAAGAAGTTGGGGACCTGAGGCTCTGGCAATGCATCCCCCAGCTTTAGCATCTTCACCATCCAGCAGAGCCTACACCCCCCACCCCCAGCTCTGGTGCTGGAGATGCAAGCAGAAATGGGTGCAGCCAAGGAGGCTCCAGGAAAAGCAACACCAGGGAGACCGGTCCCTATCACTCATCTTGACCAGTCTTCTCTAAAAGGATTGCACTTTGAATTAGGACTTATATACTTCCTGCTCACTTCTCCAGACTTGGACTTTCAGGGACCCCAGTGAAGTCAATTGGGGGCCCCAGTTGGACTGATTGTGCCCAACCCCCTGGGAATGGGGGTAACAGAAGCTGATTCTGTGCCTTTAATAAAAAACTGCCATCAGTGACCAAACCAGGCTGGTGCCTGTGGAATTTTGGCCTGGGGGCTCCTCGGCTGCTGAACCCCCTGGGAGAAGGGACTGGTGGGATCCACATCCACCCCAACCAGTTAGGATTGATGCTGCTTTTTAAACAACATAGAAGAGAGGTGGGGGGAAGCATCTCTCAGTGTATAGTATGATTAGCCTTATCAGCAGATAAGGATGAAAATTCCAACTCCTGTTTAAAATAAATCTACATTAGTGTCACAACAACACATTCACTTTGTGTATGTGAGATCTAAGATCAGATTCCTCTCCTCTAGATGATATCTACCATGAAAAGATATCTGGTATCTGAGTCCAGATTATGTAATAACAGCTGAAAAAAATGAGAGGTTCTTCAGCAACTTTTGTATCTAAAAGATCTGTAAACCCCTAATGGCGACTCCATACTACCTGTGTTTATGCAAGAAAATATGTGCCCGACAAAATTCTGCAAACAGTTCCAGTGACCATCATGCAGAAACATATCCCTCTGGAGCATATGAAATATGAAACGTCAGGATTTCCACATGGAAAGGACCCAAAGGACACCAAAACAGAGGGAGTGCTATTTTGAGAGAGAGAGAGAAAAAAAATGTGTGCGGTGAGGTGCAGAATTCTTGCCCAATTGGAAAACACTGTAATCCTTTCAAACACATCAGGACATCAAAACAGAGGGAGCACTATTTTGAGAGAGAGAGAGAAAAAAATGTGTGTGGTGAGGTGCAGAATTCTTGCCCAATCGGAAAACACTGTAATCCTTTCAAACACATCTTATAATGTGTTTTAAACCCAACTCCAGGGTTTTATTATCCATCTCTTGGATCCTTTGTTGTTGTTGTTGTTGCTGCTTGCTTTTCTTATTTTCCTGTTAATTTTGTATGTATTAAAAAGTTTCTGACTGGGAAAACTAACCATCCAATGAACTTACACCCAGCTCTAATTTGGCAGCTTGTATGTATGTATGTATGTATGTATGTATGTATGTATGTATGTATGTATGTATGTATGTATGTATGTATGTATGTATGTATGTGCGTGCGTGCGTGCGTGCGTGCGTGCGTGCGTGCGT